AAGTATTATTGGAAAAAAAAAATTAAAACACTATCCATTATGCATGAACAACACAAGGTAGACAGCCTACCTATACTAATATCACATTGTATGGTTAGATGTTATATATATATATATATATATATATATATGCATGTACATTAGGGGGATGCTGAAGCATTTATGGCAAACGTGAGAGTCAATGTTTTCTGTAGTTTTATTTTTGGGCAAAATTTTAAGTTCATATATTATCTCCGATCCTATTAGGAGTATGCATAGACCAGACTGGACCGAATTTGTTATTAAGATCTTGTTTATAAATAATATCTTATAAATAGGACTGGAGGTAGTATAATGTTTTATTCTTCTATATTTGAATGGGGATCATATATTTTCCTATTTTGTACACTATATTTTCAAAAAGAATTCAATATTTTTTTGTCACCTAAGAAGAATTCAACATTTGTAACAAGCATGAATTAAGAAATAGTGATATATATAATATTCATTTATCATCTATATACTCACTTTTTTCTTAAACGTCCATGGCTTTACCTTCGTTTCTAAAGTCTAAAAAAATAAATTAAAAATGTAGGTAAACCATTTGTAATAATGCTAACCCCAGGGCAGTTACGGTATTCGACAAGGCATCTTGGCGCTGATACCACATGAACCCGTTCTCTCCAGTCTCCGGTGAATCGCTGTACGGTAATGGCTGGATTACACTGGGACCCACCACAGTAGACTACATTCTTGGACCGTCCGATTCAAGTGAACTGCCCATCAACCGAGGGACGCCTATCCAGTACGCCAGCACCACATAGGCCATTTTACATGCGAGATCAAATTACTAAACGACCCCGAGAGGAGAGCATCAAAATACCGATATTTAGCTTTTTTCCTTTGGGGCAATTATGGAAAAGAATGATACCAACCGCGAAATTTGCACGGGGCTACGCATCGTGTATTCTGTTAGAAGGCGTATCGAAGACGGTTTGTTTTTCGTTTTCTCAGAGTTTCCCTCGCACCAAACACTTCGTCCCCTCCTTTCTTTTTCCCTCCTAACCATGCCCGCTATAAAACCTCCTTCCCCCTCCTCTCTCTCTCATATTCGTTTCTCTCTCTAAATAACACAGGACCAGCCTCACTCCCTCTTCTTGACTGGCAAGGTAATGAACGGTTCTTTCGTTTTCTCTTTTGCCGTTACTGTTAATTAGTTCATTTTCTTGCTGCATTCTTTCGGAGTTGATTTCCTCGACGCATTTTGTATCTGGTATTTCTTGAATGATTATTAGCTAGGATCTTTGAATTGGTTTATGCGTTTGATTCGAACGAGTTTTCAGGTTTCGGTAAAATGGAAATAAACTAGTACGCTAGAGTTATTCAAGATTCGATTGACTTATTAATTTTCGCGGTTCTGAGATTTTCTTGTTTTGTCGCTAGTTGAATCTTCTATTGCGAAAATGCATAATAAGGACGCTTGCTCTTCTTCAAATGGCGGAGTCGGCACCAACATCGCTACTTCTGGTCACATGCAGTCGAATGGCGCCATTTATGGTGCCATCTACTCCACTCTGTTTTCTGACACCCCCTCCCTGTCAGCTACAGACAATGGCGACCTCTCGCTTCATTCGTATGAAGGAAACTCTCCCTTGAAGTACAATGACTCTCCCATTCAGAGTCACCTGTATGACTCCTGTGCCATACAGAATCATCAAGATATGGTGAACCGCCATAGCATGTGCCTCAATCGCCTCGCCGAAACCTCAAAGGAGGTCGAGGCTCTGCGGCAGGAGAACAGCCAACTTCGCGCTGTGAACAGGGAGCTGAACAATCAATTGAGCCTCCTCATTCAGGTTTCGGTCCAGAATCAATTGGACGGCTCCTCTGGTCATACAGAAGCGTTTGACGTCATAAATGGGTTTCGTGGCTTACGCATTTCGGACAATTTCGGGGATGGGAAAGAGAACTGTGAAAATTGGAATAAGGATCAAGAGGTTTCGAACGAGAGTCCAACAAGCGTGATTGAGAACAATGTCGAAGTGGAGAGGTTCTCGCTGCCCAAGAGTATATCTGTAAGGTCAAATGGGTACTTGAAGGCTGCTCAGCCCACGGCCGCTGGTGCCAGCAATGGAAGTCGCCCCAAGGGCGCTGCGCGGCCACGCACATCTTTGACCCCAAGTGATGTCGTTGTAAGAAAACCCCCTTTTTGACTTTACTGTTTGGTTTATATTATTATTATTTTCTCTTTCCTGTGATTATTGCTTTATCGTTATTTACCGAACAGATTTGCTTGCTTGGTATATAGTTGTTACCCGTTTTTCTTTCAAATGAAGAAAACATTGCTTGATTGTCTACGTCATTAGTCATTACCCGGTAGCTGCAACGACAGAGTAGTTTGGTTGTTGCCTCATCTATATAATTTTTTGGGTTTAATCTCTCCTTCACACGTACGTGACATTTCGTTTGCTTGCTTGCTTGGTAAGCTCCAATTTTTTGGAATTGCAACTTAACCCTTTGGTTTGACTATTTAGTGGCCTAACGAAAGTAACTTAATTGTGAAATATATTGTATGCACCTATTGAGATGGGGTGGGTTGCATAAACATAGAAGGACCTAAGATACATGCTTGTCTCTGGACAAATTTGTGACTGCATTATTTGGAAAGTAAGTGATATAATCGATAATGCAGGAACAGAAAATCAAGGTTAATCTGTTCATCGAGTCTTTAAAAATCATTTGCCCAATGAAGACAACAATACATACAGTTGAAGACCCAAAATATAACAGTGGGCCAAACAAAGAGAAGGACTCAGAACATAAACATAACATCGTTTAAAGTCCAATGTAAATAAGTGAATTGGATATAAATTGAGTTTCCTGTCCATAAGGACCAAGGAGGGGCTTCGATCAGCTCCCTCGTATTTAATCTCAGGTAATTGATGTTTAAATTTTGAATGTCTTACAATGATACAGCAAAAGGTATATGTGCGTGGAGGGAAGAAGGAGGAAGAGCCTCTGGAGATGGTGGTGTATAACCAAGGCATGTTCAAGACGGAGCTGTGCAACAAATGGCAGGAAACTGGAACATGCCCCTATAAGGACCAGTGCCAATTCGCTCACGGTATTGGTGAACTCCGTCCTGTCATCCGCCATCCACGCTACAAAACTGAGGTCTGCAGGATGGTGCTTGCTGGAGTTGTATGTCCATACGGCCATAGATGCCATTTCCGCCATGCACTCACTGAACAAGAGAAAGCCATAGCACAGCCTAAGCCCAGGCCAATGAACCTGCACAGATAAAATAACGCCAGCTCAACTGCTGATAACTATGGTGAGAAAGTGTCGTACTATCCGCTACAGTATATGACTGATGAAAAATCAGAATGGTACATAATGATATTCTTGATTGTGTAATTACATACATGGACAGAAATTATAAGATAAGAATAATTAGTTTCATCTATACTTTTATCAAGTAGAGGACGAAAAATATTGGAGGCTTTCTGAACCTTGAGCAGGATTTTTGGAGAGGATGTGGTCGTTCATTGTATCTCTGTCTTTCTTTTTATTCCTCAAAGTATAAATTTGAACTCGACGCACTTACAGTCTTTGGTTTTCCCAAGCCCAAGCGTGCAAATTGAAACTATTGGCTTGGAAAACAAAGAAAAAGTGCTAGTTCATTGTAATGGTGTTGATTGATACCTTTCAAAGTGAGCAATTTATAATTGGAGTCAGTTATCTTTTGATCGTCCTTTAGCCAATCTGTTATTCTTGTTTGATGTTACAAACTCTGTTGCATGTAGTTATATGAATAAATCCTTATCATTTTTGTCTTTCATGAAGCGGATTAGACCAGTGCTTCTTCGCAATATACTACTATAGTTTTTCTTTTTTTTTTAAAAAAAAATTCAGATATCTTTGCATGAGATGCGTCGTATTTAAAATTCACATGATTTGCAAGATAATCGATCCGCGAGAATTGTCGCAATTTGATATTTTAGTTGACATCACATATTCAAGGGACGATTTTTTTTTTTTGGGGGGGGGGGAGGGGCGAACTTAGATAATGAATTGAATATAGGCGGTTGTGGATGTTGGTTGTCTTACGTGGAAGGGGCCTCTACCCTAGGCTTTGAACCCTAAAATCAAGCTAGGATGGCTGCAATTGCTTAAATCCCAAGCTAAAGTCAGCCCTTCCTTTGAAGATAAGCCCATGCTTCATTTCAGCTACGAAAGTGCTACATTGACCTATTATGTGAGGGAAACCCAATATCCAACATCCACAACCCAAAGGTGGCTGATATGATGAGCGGCCCAATTATGTGCTGTTGTTAAATGACTTATTTTGTAATCCAATTCACAGTATACAAATAATTACCTGATTTTGTTTTTAATATCATTATTTAAAATTTCTTCTTCACGCTTTACTTTGTTCCGTCCACTTTAAGGAACAGCAGTATCATTTCTCAATATAAAAAAATAAGTAGTTTAAATTTCATACTTTATAAAATTATTAAGTTTTTTAAAATTTTAAATAGCTTATGTGCACCAAGTGTTTAATATTATAATCACACGACTCCTAAACTAGGGGTAACAAATTTTCACAAATCAAAATAAATTTCTTTATATATTTACTTCTTATGATATAAAATTATTTTTAATATTATAATTTTGATCCCATCCAAATATTTTTTTTATTAAAGGGGAGAAACGACGAGGAAGGATCGCAAAAGACAAGTAGACTGGGCAGACGCGTTTCCTTTCCCTTTTGAGGAAAATTGTACATAAAGACTTCATAATATGTAAAATTATGATTTGAAACTTTTAATTTGAAAAATAGTAAATAAAGACCCGATCTCATTTTTGTAAATATAAAATTACAATGAAATGTCTGAAATGTCTTTCAACCAAATAAAAAATTGACTATAGGAAATAACAAGTTTACTTTAATAAAGGATGACTTCAGCAGATCAAATGAAAATTTGACTGAGGATATGTTACATGACAAGTTAACTATGAGAAATGAGAAGTTCACTTTAGCGAATAATAACTTCATTAGATCAAATCACAATTTAATTGAGGGACGTTTCAGATATTTCACTTATATGTTATATTTGTAAAAGTGAGACGCGGTCCTTATTTACTATTTTTTAAATTCATGATCCCAAATTATAATTTTACATATTACAAGGTCTTTATTTATAATTTTCTCTTCTTTTTGAGACCAGTGGTCAGTGGATTCCCTTGTCGTTGTGCTTGTGCGCGAACAGGAGGGTTGTTTTTGGAACTACCCCTAAACTGAAACCCTAGAACACGGCTTTAACGTCGCCACCCCTATAATATGTGCGCCAGGTCGCAGCTCTTTCCTCCATAGTCCAGACTGGTTCAGAGAGAATGGAAAGGGAGCAAACTTGAGGGAGTCGTGGGAATGGGAGGATCGGGAAATTGAAAGATCCGACGTCGAAGCCCTTCCTTCCTTAGGGTTTCCTGCCTCTGTTTTTCCGATTCCACCCATTCCTATCATTCCCTCTTGTTCCCTCCCTTTCCACTTCATTCCCTCTCTTAAATCTCTCTCCTGTTCATCAATCGTGCCCAGGTAAACCACTTCCTCCTCTTTCTCAGTTTAGATTGCCACATCTAATTAATTATAATCTCTTTCCTTTGTCGCTATTCACATGGATCGAATCCCATAGCGTGCAAGAGGTTAAGCCATAGCATTTACTGGAGGCTTCTTGAGTCAAAACTCAAAAACTTGATCATTTGTTTTCTCAACCACGATACTGCACAGTAACAATGGTTTTTCTTTCTTTCTTTCTTTTTTTGGAAAGAAAAGTTATTTTATTATCAATTACCTCACGTATACCCGTTCTCTTTTTGCTGCCCCTATGCATGATGCAAGGTTTTCTACAGGGCTCTATCCTCCGATAAGGGCTCACGGCGGGAAAACCTCCCTCTGATAATAATATTAATAATACAGAGGGGAGGGTTTTGCATTCCACTTTTATGATTTTAATATTTTGAACGAAAATCAAACGTCAAATTATTAGCTCCTGTGTTATGAACAAGGTGTTAATATAAAAAAAAGGCACCTGACAATTGATTTAATAAAATATTGTTATAATACAAGTAAGTTAATTACTGATTAACTATAATACACAACCGATAGTAAAATACTTTTTCCGGACTTATTTATAAGCTTTAAACTAGAAATTTTTTCCACGTGATGCACAAAGTGATGTGTAACTACCTATTATTAGATTTGAAATAAGTGAAAGATTTTTATAAGGTGTGTTACCTGTTTGATTCAATAGGGATATATTATTCTATTTGTATTTTTGTCACTTATGGAAATAATTATGACATGTTTTTCTTAAAAATTTATAATTTTCTATGTATTTTTAAAAATATGACATTTCTTTTATAAAATAAAATAATAAAAAATAAGGCATATGTATATGAATTGTATTCACAGCCCCTCTTATTTTAAGCCCTTTTTATTTTAAGAAATCTTTATTTCTCCCCATCTCAAAATATTCTTCTTTTGCCTTGTATTTTTAAAAATATAACTTTTTAGATAAAATAAGATAATAAAAATGAGCACATATATATGGATAGGGAGCATATGCACATATAATTTTGGGTTATTTGGTCATAAAAAATATTAGATCTGAATAGAGTTAAATAGATTGAATTGTTACTATAATTACATGAGAAACTGATACAAAAGGACACATAAAATTAAAATAAATTTAGATAACAAATAAAATATGGACTCATTTAAGCATTAACGGGTATTACAAGATTTTGTAACTATATTAAATAGATAGATTTAGAAAAAACTGTGGGTCATTTTATAAGTTTTTATTTAGTATTTTTAATTATTAATTCTCTATTTTTATATAATAATCTATTTTTTATTTTTTATTTATTATATGAGTATATTTAAAGATAAAACTATATTTTTAATTTAGTTATTATTTTAAGTAATTGTTTGTTATTTATGAATTAATTAGTTAAAGTATGTAGTAAGTTGTAATTTCGAAACCACGAAGATGACTGACTTCCGGCATGTCCAGATGAATGATCAGTTGTTGACTTGGTGACCTGTAGAAAAAACTTCGCGAAGGACAATAGAATAAAATTATTAATCCAAATATTCTACAGAAATCGATTTCCATACCAATGCCCCAGCACATGGAAAGCTTTCTTGGAAATGAAAGCGTGTTTCGCCTGTAACCACCCAAATGGCAAACACGTACTCAGCATCCTGACTTTGTGTTAAGAAAATCCTCAAATTCCTGACTCACATAATACAATTAATTTATGAATTTGAATTCTTCCCAACTAATATCAACTCAAAGGAAAATGATAACGACATTAACGGGGTCTCTGGAGAGAAGGAGAACGAAGGGATGAATGAATAGGCTTGAACTTGAACTCTAGACTGTCTGTGGGCTTGGGCTTCAAATCGGCTCACAGTTCATTGCGACGAATGATCTTTTAATTATTATACTGAAAAAATGACGGAAAGAGTCTAAATTTTCTATAACATGGATAGATGGATTCACAACATGACGGGGTGGCTTCAGAGGTAGTTTTATTGAGTTTGGGATGAGTACATGAAAATATTTCTTCTCATTCTTGTAAGTAACTAATAAAATTTTTACTTAAATTAGTTAAAATTATACAAAAAATAATTTTTGTATAGGACTTTAATATATAAAGTGCCAATATACCCCTCTGGTCTTTCATATAGGACTTAATTGTTGAGTTGGTTTTGATTCTAAACATAAGACTCATTTATCATATTTATCAATTTTTTCTAAATTACCCATATGGATACTCTCTCAACCATAATCAAGTAGAACAGAGAAGAGGATATTAAAAAGATGATTATGGTGTTTTAGGACAAACATGTCACATTTTTTATAATTAACTAGCTTACCTAACTTCCTTAATCTAATCAAATTAGTTAAATTGGTTTTATACAAAGGATTGGAGGAGTAATATATATCCTATAAGTTTATCTTTATTTTGGTTTTATGTTATGTTTGGATTGAGAGAAAATGAGAAAGGAAGGAAAACTAGGAAGGAAAATGGAGAGAGAAGTGGTTTTTTCACTGTTTGGATGAGGGAAGAAAAGTGGAAGGAAAGAAAAGGTGGGGAGAAAATAAGATGAGTCTCATAGCCCATTTTCCTCCCAAGTTTTCTCTCCATATATGGAGAGAAAATGAGAAAAATAATCTCTCTATCCTTACATATGTTTTTTCAGCAAAATAATACTTTTTTTTTTCACTTTATTTATTATTATCAAATCTTTCTTCTGTGTTTGCTTGATTGAAAAATAAAATAACTAAAATTACACAAATCTTTCTAAAATGAACTGAAAAGAAAATAAGTACAGTTATTGTTATGGTTTTTTTAGCATTACATTATACAAAATGTTTTTCTTTTTTTTTTACAAAATTATTTGATATTAAAATGTAATAACATGATAATATATCTTTATCAAATAATTTGATTTTAAATTATATGATTATGTTAATGTAAATATGGTTTTTCATTAAAATATTTAATTTGATTTTAATCAAGATATATTTTGATATAACAAAAAGATTATTTCAGTCATTCATATATTTACTCATTTTCTTTTCTTTCTGTTTTTTCTTGTTCATCCAAATATGAGAGATAATAATATTTTCTCTTCAATTTTCTCTTTTCTCCCTCTTCTCTCAATGGTAGAATAATTTAAGTTTTTATTGAGTTAGAGAGACCCATGTTTTAAATAAAAAGAAATTTAAAGAACTAAAACTTGTAATTTGAAATTTGAAGGATCAAAACAAAAACAAAGACAGACTTGAAAAACTAAAAAATTATATTAACCTTTTTATAAAATATGAATATTATCATAAAAAATTATTTGAAGTAATATTTTTTTTTAATCTTTCAAAATTACTCCTATTTTAATTTTGGTTATTTAAATTTTAAATTATAAGTTTTAATTTTTCAAATTTTTTATTTAAAATATTGATCTTTTTAGTATGTTAATAAAAACGTGAATCATTTTTGCTTTTAAGACACTAAGACTTGTGATTTGAAAATTAAAAGATTAAAATAAAAATTACATAAATTTGAGCAAACTAAAAATTATGAAGGTATTTAAATAAAAACTAAATCATAATTTTAAAAATATTTATACAATATATAAAATAAATATGTAAAAAAATTTGTTTAGTTTGACTGAGTAGTGCTTCACTCTCCTACGCTGCCAAGTACCCCTGTATCTTTCGGCCAAAAAAAAAACCCTGTATGTGCTCAAATTATTTTGGGGTTTCACAATCAGTACTAGCGTGATAGTAGAGGGGGGCATGAGGACGAGGCGGTGGGTGAGGTGATGTTCCGGGAAATTTCGTGGGAGAGTAGGTGAGGTGTCCTTCTCTTGTCACCTGTCAGACTTCACTCATTACAAAGCTATTGTTCGCACTTGGCAGACATTTCAACATGTTGGTCCCCACATTTTTTTATTTTTATTGGCTGCTTTCTTTTTAACCTTATCCCTTCCCTTTAATATCTGCTCATTTAGTAACTTTTTTAAAAAAATTTATAAGAGGTGTTTAGTGTTGGATAAAAGTATTTTTAATCAAAACAAATTTTTTATATTAAAAATATTTTTAAAAATATGATTTAGTTTGCATATTAAACACTCATTTCCTCATGTGTTATTTGTGAGTTTTAAATTTAAAAAATTGTATGTTTTCATATAGAAGCATATGTTAAAACATAATTTTTTTAAGAGAAATTATAATAAAATTTTAAGAAAAAAATAATTACAAAACAGATATTAAAATTTTTTAGTTTTTATTTTGACACTTGTTGTTATAAGTTGCTTATGTTTTTATGGAAATCTCCCATTTTTTTAATCTGCTATTCTTTTTAACTAATTATTTATTATTCACAAATTAATTATTTAAAACTTGTAATAAATATCAGAGGAATTATCAATTTGGTTTTTAATATAAAAAAGGTCAAAGTGTAAGCAGCCCTCGGCTATTTTTTCAGGAACGTTTGATATCTTAAACTATTAGATGTTGTAATTTTATCCCTAATCCATTAAAATTAGTGTGATTTCACCCTAAATTAACGGACTGAAAAACGTCTGTTTTTCTTCCCTTCAATCCCGTGCGTCTCTTGCTTTCTCCTTCCTTTCCCTTTATTCCTTTTTGTGCTTTCACCCACCTCATGTATACTCTCTCTTCTTTTTCTATTCTGTAATTACTAATTTGTATTTTCTCTTTGAAAATCCCTAATATTTTTCACTTCAGCAGCACTTTGACTAGGATCCTCAATTTCTTGATGTTCCTCTTCCCTATTCCCACTCTTTGGGTCAATATTTAATTTGATTGGGCAAACTCTTCTCTATTTGGCCTGCCAACATGATCAAACTTTGTGTTTTTAATAATTTGTTCATGAGATATTACCAAAAAAAAAGAAAAAGAAAATTTGTATGAGTTGTGGGGTTCTTCCATTTGTTTCGAATCAATATAAAAAAAGAGGGTCTTTTGCTGGGACCTCATATTGGGATTGAGGTTCATCTTTTATAGACATACTATTGCATGAGCAAACTCTTTTCTTTTCATAGTAAAATAGTATTGTGGTGTGGGCTCAAACCGCTTTTTTATATGATTGGACAAGGAGAAAACGGAGGTTTTGAGTCTGTTAATTTCGATTGAAATTGCATCCATTTTAATAAATCAGGCATAAAATTGTATCACTTAATAATTTGAATGCTCCTCGAAAATTAGTTGAGGTCTACACTTTAACCCATAAATTATTTGTAACATATCCTTGTATATCAAAAAATATATTAAATTGATAAAATTTTATAATTTTATTTTTATTAAAGTTTTTTTTTAAACATTTACAAACCACTCTCATATCTCTCCCTGGTTTCACCTTTTTAAATGAGAATCAAATAATTGGGGGAGCACTCAGGCGCGTCCATTTTTTTATTTCTTATTTTTGACCAGGGAGACGCGTCTATTATATAATTAAAGTTTTTATATTATTATATTATTTTATCATTCATCTATTATTACCCACGTGTTATTATTTTTTATTAAATATATAAATTAAAAATAAAGTTCGAAAATAATTAAATTTTTCAAACAAATTGTTTAAAATTTAATTATTTTTTATACATGGAAAATTTAAGTATTTTTATTCTCAAAAAATAGGTTAAAAATTACTTGTATATAAGATTAAAAAAAAAAGTAATACTCGTATTTTCTAAACTCACCTAAATTCAAGTGAAATAAGAAAAAAGGAAGAAAAAAAAATAGTAACGGGAAAGTGCGCTGTGCCGCTGTGCGTGGTTGTTGATTCCACTCGCTTTTATCGATTCACTCAACTTTTGCTTTCCTTGGAGCGTGGGTCTACTTTTTCGTACCCTTTTTGGCCTTTCTTGCCATCTCTCGGATTCCCATTTGCCCTTTTCTGCTTATCCTGTTATCTCACCCCCATGCGCACTCTGACTCATATAAAGTTAAAGTGGCATTCATATATTAAAATATCTTTTTGTGTTTGCCAAAAGATGCTCTAAAATTATCAATATCAAAAACTAAAAGTTTTATTTTAATATGGGATAATTAATCTGTAAGTCCCTACAGTTTTAACCGATTTTGAATCAGGTCCCTATAGTTTTATTTCTTTTTACTGGATCCTTATACTTTCACATCTTTTTAATTATGTCATTGTATTTATTTTTCTTTTTACGAAGTCTTTATAAGTTCATTTTATTTTTAATTAAGTCTCTGAATTTTTTACTCTTTATTTTATAAATTCTAATAATACTATTCTATAACCATAAAATAGTATATATTATTTAATATTAGTTTATAAACAATAACATTCTAAAAATAATGAATTATTATAATAATTTTATTTTTTGCCAGCAAGAAAATATTATTTGTTCTAAAAAATTTATCTGAATTAATTAATTATATTACTTATATTAATTTAATTTAATTATTAATATTTTATATTTTAGTAATCTAATTAATTAAGTTTATATTTAACTAATAAATAAAAATTAAAACAACATGGACCTGATTAAGAATTTAGAGAAATTATAAAGACTTTATAAAAAGAAAAATAAATACAAAGATCTAATTAAAAACATGTGAAAGAATAAAAACCTAATAAAAAAATTATAAAAATCTAATTCAAAATTAATTAAAATTATAAAGACTTACAGATTAATTAACTTTTTAATATTGAGGTGCAGAAAGTAAAATTCGATGACAACCCTGGAGGAAGCTAAGAAAGAGGAGAGGAGAGGAGAGGAAGTGAAAAGCCATCTGTGACCCTGAGTTAGGGTTTTGCGGAGACGCATATATATAGAAAATAATAGGGTTTGGGAGTTGATCTGAGAGCGGCGAGATGAGGGGAGAAGTGATGGGTGTGGGAGTCTTGGTAAGAAAATAAACGAAAGATTTGAATATTTTCTCTGGAATTTTCTTTCCAATGCCTCCCATGCCCCTCATTTTCTCCTTCCTCTACCTTCCGCCATCATCCGTCCCTGTGTCTTCTGCATCTGCTTCAGGTGTATCATATCTCAGTCTGGTTCACTGGGATAAATTAAATCACAGGTGTGGGAGGTTTGGAAAGAGATAGATAAATATTTGTGCATATACACCACTCAATTTTTGTCTCTTTTTTTCCAATGCCTCCCATACCCTTGATGGTCTTCCCCTTTACATAGCCTTTTAACTTAACCATGGACCAGAGCTATTCCAGCTCACCAATATCATCTTGTTCTTGTTCTTGAGGTATGCATATATTATAGTCTGTTATTATTGGCTCATCCTGAAGTCTGATGTGTCTGATCTGCCTTTTTTAAGCATACAGACGGGTCTGTTAACGTTTGGATTGGTTTATGAGGTTTGTGTAATCTGATTGTTTGTGGCTGTAAATTTGAAGCTTTCGTTCTCTTGTACATCTGTCAATCTTCAATTTTTTTTGTTTTGTAGCCGGACTAGAGACAGACAAATCTTTCGGGAGGAGTAACAAAATTCCTAAAATGATGCTCAAGACAAAAAATTATTTATACTGTATTTCCATCAACATATTATGAAGATTATCTCTTTCCTTTTGGATTTCTTGAAGCAGAGAAGATCGAAGCTGATGGAATATGATGTTTAATTGTAATTTTTCACTGAAGACCGGAAAAAAAAAAATAGATCAAGAGCGTGCATGGAAAAGATATGAAGGAGCATCAGCATAATTGTAATATAAACTTTTTTTTTACCAGCATAATTGTAATATAAACTAGATCTTCCGAATATGTGTGTTGTGTATTGCAGAAGATGAGCAGGATGGTTTGAGATGATTCCAAGACCGAAGGATTTTATCTTTTTTATTCGAAAAATAGACGTTAGATATGGAAGTTGTTTAGATACGGAACATCTTTTGCAGAAATCTGAAACCGCTCATCTTGTGATTGATTTTTAATACGCTATGCTGATAGATAAATACTTCCCATCAGGCATCAGCATGCTGGTAATTTTCTTCAGTGTTTATGGTATTTTTCTATTTTTCATAAAAATACTTCCAAGCAAAGCCAAATATATATGTGTGCGCGCGTATTTTCGCTCTTTTGTTTCAGCGTGCTGCTTGTTTCAGGGCAGTTTATGCAGATTATGAATTAGTTTATTATCTAAATTATAATTATAATGAAGTTTTATGAAGGGAGTTGATATTGATGCTGCCATGTTAGTTTTATATGTAAACATATTTTCTATGTCGATTATTTTTTCTCAAGTTAATGTTTTTCTCATGATAATGAAGTAAGAGAGAGAAGAATTTAGAGAGGATGTTTGGAAAAAATTTATTATATTAGTTGACATAACTAACATAATCTGTTAAAATTAGTGAGTTAAAATTTATATTAAGAGTGGAAGGTTGTTATTTGTTAACATGAACTCTCTCAGGTAGGGGTGTTCACGGGACGGATCGGGACCGGGACAGGCCCGTCTCGATTCCGTCCCGATGAACAGTAACGGGACAGATTTTCTGTCCCGTGTCCCGGCCCGTCCTGGGGTTGTCCCGGTCCCGGTCGGGACGGGACGGATCCGGGACGGGACCGGGACGTCCCGAAATAATTTTTTTTATTTTTTTTTATTTTTTTTAATTTTTTTAAAAAAATCTAATTTTTTTAATTATATTTTTTTGAGTTTAAATCTTATAAAAACATCTTTTTTATTTGTTTGGGCACTCTTAAACAAAAGCTCAAAATATTACATATAATAGTTATTAAAAACTCTAAACAAAAGCTTTTAACATAATAAAAACTTGTTAAAAATTCTAATCATCAATAATCTCAAATCATTAACAAATATAAAAACTCTAAATAAATATATCCATAGTTCCATACAATAGTCTCAAATCTTAAAAAAATATGAAAAAAATGATATTATATAAAAAAATTAAAAAAATTAATTAATTTTTTTAAAAAAAGGAACCGGGATGGAACCGGGACGGGACCAGGACGGGACGACCCCGTCCCGTGTCCCGTCCCGTCCCGGTCCCTTTTTTGTCCCGTCCCGAAAAATTTCGGGACGGATCCGTCCCGTCCCAATAAGACCGGGACCGGAACGGGCCGACCGGGACGGGTCGGCCTTGAACACCCCTACTCTCAGGCACTCGCTCTATTAGAACAGTATTTGACGGGCGGTTCCGAAGCTTGGCTTATTTTGCCAATTATCTTTTACTTGTGGATGTTTGGCAACATCTAGAAGTGTGTTTGGTACCTTTTAAATTATGATTTTAGAAGTATTTTTTTATAAAACAGGATAAATTTTTTTCACATATTTATTTTATAAACTGTAAAAACACTTTTAGAACTACGAGTTCCAATGTGTTTTTTTTCTTTTTTTTTTAGTAAAAACTGGATGTCCACTATTACAATTACAGCATACTAAGAAATAAGACATGCTTAACCTCTTGTCCTCTTCCATCACTCTCCACCGCGCGTTTGGGAGGGTTTTTTTTTTTCCTTCCGCCCTCTCTTCTGTATAGTGTTGCAGTTTCCATTTTAAAAGAAAATAAAATTTGGACAAAAATAGAAGATCTTCAAATGAACGAATGCCGAGCGAATGGGATCAGTTGTAAACAATTGATGCCTTCATCAATTAGATCTAACTACAATATTTTGATCATTCTTTGTTAGTACTATTTTCTTATAACAATTTTAAGAGAATCTAGATAATGATTACATCAGTCAATTTAGTTATACTATTTATAATTTACAAACGAAATTTTATATTTAGAATCGGTAGTAGTATTCATTATATCAACAGCATTTTTAAAATATTAATATTTTGTTATAAAATAAAAAATAGTGGTCAAAAGTAGAAAAATTGAAATAATAAATATAAAATTTAACTTAAATATTTTTATAATATATTTTTTGGGGTTTGAATGAGAATCATAATCTTTATCAAATATCAACTATTTAAATCTAATATTTTTATTTTTTTAAAAAAGTATTTTTTTAATAAATACATAATTTAAAATAAATATAACCGGTTAACTAAAAGTTTTTTTTAAATTAATTTTTTATTTAAAAATTATTAGTTAGAAATTTTAAGTTTAAATCATTAAAACTAATTTTAAAAGTTTAAATTTCATGTCACTCATGGGTTTTTTTTTTTTTGCCAACCACTCATGGGTATTATTGTGGCCATGAGTAGTCAAATTTGAGAGGTGGATCTGGATCCTCTCAAAAAAAATTTTCATCATAGTCTTATTTTTACTATTGGATTAAATAATAAATAATTCACATTTAATATTTTTAAAAAATAATTTTTGTTTTTTCTAATTTATATAATATAATAATAATTTTATAATATATAAAATTTAAACTATTTATGATTTGATACAACCGTACAAATAAAGATAAGATTCTGAAATGAGAAGAAAAAGAAAAAGAGGGGAGGATCCAGATTCTCTGAGAGGTGCGGTTGTCACTCAGTTGTCAGTGTTGGTTTACTGTGCAAGAATAGCACAATCGTCGCGATGTGCTCTCACTGCTGCTTGTGGTCGTTCTTATCTTTATTTTAAGTGATTTCTTATTTTGCAAGACAGATTTTTTGAGAGGAAGAAGTGTTTAAATGAAATCAAAATTATAATTTTAAAAATATTTTTATAATATATAAAAAAATTTATTTTGATTAGTACAAAAGTGCTTAGAGCACTTTTTAAAAAAGCCAAACGCTCTCAAATTTGAATTTGAAGGTGCTCCTCGTTTTGTTCAATTTGAAAGCAAGTCCCTTGACTGTTTTTTTCGTTAGCTCTTTAGCTTTTTATAGTTATGCTCCTTAGTCCTGACCATTAGATATGATCAACACCGTTAAAAATTAGTCAAACATGTTTGACGAAGCTCTGCTCTTTCCTTCTCCGTCGTTCTACCGACCCCCTTCCAACCGCCACATGGAAACCTTCCCTTCCTAATACTCGTATCATTTTGCCATAAAATGTTTAGCTTTGTTTAGAAATCTAATTCAAAAATTATAAGGATACTTAAATTATTTTTTTATTTTATAAAATATAATTTAGATTTGTTTAATTATTTACTATAATTTTAATCTCTTTCTCATCTCCCTTTTTTTTAATTATTTCTCATCCTTTTTTATTATTCATTTTCTCCCACATACCCACTCTATAAGTAAGAGTGCTTCAAAAAATGAAATTGTATTTTTTTTTTTACATATTGGTTGTGTCTAACTCATTTTAAACAATTTTTTGAGTTGCGTGTTTGATACTTGTATTTTAATTAGGAGGGAGTGGAATCTAACATTCTTATTCTTTTTTTTTAGGTGCATTCATCATTCTCATTTCATTTCTCAGATACATTTATTGTGGTAATCTTATTTTTCTGGTACACTTAACATATTAATATCATAATTCTTTTGGGTACATCCACCACTTTAAAAAATTTGGATGTTAGAAGTACCCAAATATAAGATAAAAATTGTGAATGCAACATAAATAAGATTATTGTGATTGACGCACATGAAAAATAAGATTCTGTACTGGATGTACCTTTATCCTCGATAGAGCTTTATCTTGTAAAATGTTAAAATCCAAATAACTGAATTGTGTGCTTTAAAAAAACTATTAAAATTAGTTAAATATAATAAATATATAAGAAATGGCCTTTTTTCTCAAATATAGCGTCGTTTATGGGTGGGTGGGTGAGAGTGGAAAAAAAATAAAAAATGTATAAAAAAAGATATTGAGAGAGTATATTAATTACGAATAAAATAAGTAAAAATATATTTAATGATCAGACAAATTCAAAAATTTCCATCTTATTATAGTAAGGATGGAGAGAGGCAATGATATAACATATAATTAATATGAGTAAAAATAAAAAAAGTGATTAAAATTTTAAATACCGTCGAACCGTATTTTACAAAGAGAAGTGAGTAACTTCAAAAACTGTATTTACTATTTTGTATATAGCAACAGGAGCTTCCATTTGTCAAGGATCAAGAACTTTCTATGTAAACTCAAGCTCTGTCCTCCTTGTCAGAAACACAACTATTAAAATCACGAATTTAAAATATCAATTAAATGTAATTAAAACATAATAAATATATAAACCATATGTACTCCTCCGGTCCTAATTATAAGACCCAATTGACTTATTTGAAGAGATTAAGGAAGTAAGTTAAGTTGGTTATTTATAATAAATAAGTGTTGTCATTTCTAAAATATCCTTGCTAATTAGGTATATTGACTAAAACTATCATTATTAGAATGATTATCTTGGAAAAAACTGCATAAATATAAGAGAAAAAATAGATTGGGTCTTATAATTAGGACCAAATAAAAAGTCAAATTGGGTCTTATAATAAGGACCGGAGGAGTACCTTTTTATAATTATACTCTTATTTATAAGTCGGATACATAAAAAATAGTGAGCAAAAATCTATTAAAAAATAATAAGTAGTCTTAGTTTACAATTTTAGATGAAAAATATTTGTTTCTGATATTTGACATGTAAAAAGGCAAATTGTTTCTTATTTTAAAATTTACATAGACGGGGGGTGAGAATTTAGTTTTTAGTGGCCCAGTAGTGGGTCAGCCCAGTAAGGGTGCATTAGGGTTAGGTGGAATATATCAATATAAAAGGAGGATATGGGGAGGGAAAGATAAGGAGGACACGGCTGATGTTGAGGGGAAAAGCCACGGTCATGGGCGGCTGGGAAAGAGATGAGCCCGAGAATATCTCTTCTTCACGGCTTCTTTTTCCTATGCCTCCCATGCCCTTGATTTTCCCTTTTCTCTCCTCTCCATATCGTTCTTCCTCTGCTGCAGGTATACACACACACGCACACATATTACAGAAATACTACTGCATCTTTCTTAGTTTTCAGTTGTTTGATCTGATCTCTCTTTTTCTGCCTCTATATTTTTGCTAGTGAGTTAGGGATCTCTTATTTTCCCCCACTCCGATCACTTCATGA